AGTGTTACTCTAGCATTATCATGAGACGTAGTGTGTCGGTGTTCTACGTTTTTCTTGCTCCCTTCTTAGTTAAATATTATTCGGCTACGTGAAACGCTCTTGGTTTAGCGCTCCGCTGGAAAGGCAGAGGTCCCTGGTCCGGTACGAGGACCATGCACGCCGATTTTTTCGGTAGCTGCTTGTTCGACATAACTTGCTGTTCAGGTGCAATTTGTTTCGAAACATGCAAAGCGACACAGTGCAATGAGGTTTCAAGTGCCCACAATGGTATACTATATACGTTTGACCGAAGTGTGAAAAACTAGTGCCAAAATTCCCTTTTTTTTTTTTTTGTGCGTTTGTGCCGAGCCGACATTTAGCTTCCGTGCACTCTCATATTGTTACGGTAGACTTGTGTGGATTTAGGAAACTTTAAATTGATCGATTCAACCTTCGTGTCTAACACCGCCAGTACTCAAATGCTTTGCAGTACGCCTTTAAGTCCGCGGTCTTTTTTTTTTTTTGAGTTCGTTGAGTTTAGTTTTCTCCATTCTTTGGTGCGCTACTGTGTAGCGACGGCGTCGGACTTTACGTAATGAGTCATGACTGAAACACATTAGCGAAAAGCGGCCAAATTGTATGAAGAAATCGCAAACGAAAATCAGACAGCAACTCCTATTGCCTTCTTTTTTTTTTTTTTTCGGCGGGGAAACCCGGAGGGGGACGGAGCGATGTCGCAACGTTACTTCGGGAGTTCCGTCCGTTCCGTCCCTCTCCGGGTTTTCTACGCTATGGCGCAGCCGCGGCAGCCGCCGAGGCTGGTTGAGTGTTTCCGCGATTTTTGCTCAGCTCTGTACGAAGTCGGATTTTCGCCGCAGTGCTCCGTGGTGAACGGAGCACTGCGGAGACTGAAAATTATGTGGGCTGTTCGCTGTGTTGTGGCATTCGGGCAAAGCAAGATCGCGGTGAGTTTGCTCGTGTACAGTCGGCGGTAATAGTTTGCGGGGCGCGGGAGCGTCAGCCGAAATGACTGGTTGCGCCTTCTGCGGCGCGCGGCCGCTCTCAAGATTCACGCTTCGAGAATGTGCTTCCTTTCGTGCTCGAAGCCATGACTTTTTCGCTCGCTTCCGCCCGACGTGCACGAGATAACCGGGGACCGGCGCAAGGTGCCGCTATGACAGCCCTCACGCCGCGCGTCTGCCTCAGCCACCGTGATGGGTGACGAAACTCGCGCATGCTACAGATAACATTTCGCGGCACCTTGCGCCAGTCCCAGTTATATGTCGTGCGTGTCGAACGGAAGCGAAAAAAGCATGACCGCGAACAAGAAAGGAAGCGCGTGCGCATAGCGTGAGTCTTGGAGCAGCAACGTGCCGTGAGAAGGCGCAGCCAGTCTTTTCGGCAGGCGCTCCCGTGCCCCGCAAACTTTTGCTCCCGACTGTACGTCGGCCGATGCTCGTGTCGGTGCACATCTCAATCTCAACTAAACATCGAGCGCCGATTGTGGCTGACTCCATGCATGTAAGAGAATTAATCTACCCGGAACTTCGTGAATAAGAACGAGACAAGCGTGTGGCTGTAGAAGGATGTCGTGACCGGTGGCATACGTACACTGGTTTCCGCACGTTGCTTCTGTTTACTTTATCTGTTGTAATAGCAGTCTTTGTACCGGTGCGTGAAGGCCTCGGTTGCTTCGAAAATCAAAGCTGATACAGCCAGTCTCTTTTTATCCGATGATTCTGTCAAGTCCTAATCACGGCGTCATATATATCTATCTATCAAGAGTGCACGTTTGGTGTTGTTTGCGTTAATTTTACTGCGGAGGACGTTGCCTTTTGTGCGGGATCAGTCTTCTCGTGCAACTTGTCTTCCAAATTTGCGTGCAACAATTTTTGCACCCTCCGATTTCCGTTCTATATTCGGTTTCTTTTCTTGCAAATGTGTTTCAGCCTTAACATTTTGCCGCGGCGCAGCTCTGTTCAGAGAAGAAACGGTCTCAGCACAGCAGGGTGCACGAAGCGCGTCGTGTGTTTAGAAAAAAAAAAAAAAAAAAATTGGGCAAGAAACTTTTTTTTTTTTTTTTAAATTGGCTTGTTTTTTATGTTTATACAGCCTTGATGGAGATGCGCCTCAACGGGTAATCGGTCTCTTAGCTGTAGATGAGAACTTTAGCCAGTGCGGTACAACCGCTAACCTGGGATTTTTAACGTGCATCACGCAGTAGTCATCACACGAACGCGTGCCGGTACAAAACTCATACAGATCGAAACGGGCGGGGGCGGCGGGGATCGAACCCAGAGGTTCCCAGCGCAAGCTTTCGCTCCACGCTCCGAGCTGAGACGCGTTAGCCCACTCGGCCACTTCCTCCCTTGGCAAGAAATGATTTGGTAACTGCACCGTAATAAGTGACTGCCAGCAGTGGAAAAAAAAAATATGTTGCCTTATAGTTGGAGTTAAGTCATCTGCCTTATTGTAGTATTTGAGGTAGAAAGGAGAATAAACTAGATGCCTGGGCCGGCTTGCGAGAGGCAGCGTCTCGGTTAAGACTGCTCAAAGAAAGCGCTGCCAAGGCTCGGGCGCGCGTGCGTCTAGGACTCGGTTTAAGCTCTAGCACTAGCCTTGACAGCGCTTTCTTTGAGCAGTCTCAACCGAGACTCTGCTTCATGCAAGCCGGCCCACATCTCTAGAAAACCAATTTTCTGCCCCAAAAGGTGGTAAAAAAATGTGTCACATTACTGTGCAATTGCGAGGCGTTAGCGTGAAACATTTTCGCGGTAGACTGCAAGCAAACAAAAAATGGAAAAGAGCAAGAAAAAAAAAAGAAAAACAAAAACAACAGTAAGTCAAGCGTGAAATGCTAGGGAAAGGAAGGTGGGAGTGGAGGAAGCAGATGGATAGCTGGCAAGGAGAGGAGGAACTTCCCTTCCCTTGCCAGCGTTGTTTACTTACTACTTTCCATGTTCCTTTCCCTTGCCCTTGGCAGCAGTTTAAATCAAATAGCGCTGCGTCGTCCTGGCTTTCATTGCACTGCTCAAGCTATGAATGACAAGGCGCTATACCATTCCAGCCCAGTTCTGTTCACCTGACCTCTCAAGCCAGATGCACAGAAACGAAAAGTTTCACATGACAATTACTGCGGCCATTCATATCACTGCCCAATGTTAGCATGCTAGACTGTAGCTCCTCATGGCTCGGGCAACCTAAAAGAACACGGAAACATAGTTTTGTATGTTAAGACTGGACGGCAAGACGACACGCACGCTGCAGGTGTAGACAGGCAGGTGCAGGTGTTCTATCTTTCTGGTGTAAATAGAAACATTGCCTTCAGATTAACGCAGAACATTGAGGATGGCTGTTTTGTACTTCAGTTTAAACCTGGCTCCTGCATCTGAAATAGCCAGTTTCGACAAAAACGTGTGGTGCTTCATTCAGAAAAACTTGCCCACTAGTCATGAAACCTTGATGATTGCTTCGTCAGTGACACTATGTGGCACACATTACAAGCCAGGTTCTTACATAGTGCTTGGTGGGGACCAGTACAACCTGCAGTTCGGCCAGCTTCTGCATATTGTGGTAGAGTCTGGCCATGAGGCAACTCCACTATTTCTTGTGAAAAAAGCAGCGTCTGCATTCCTCCCAAACTTCAGGCTCTACAAGTTGATAGAATTGGAAGTGGAAGAGCTACAGTTGTTGTCTTCCTCTCAGCTGATGGACATACATCCATATGTCCCGTACAGACTCCTCAACTGTCTTGGGATCAGGCTGCGGAGTTCACTATTGTTCGACGATTTTGAAGGTATGATACCAGTGATTTGTGTGGAAATTACCTTAAATTTAAAAACGGGGGACGCCCTGCAACTCACTTTTTCAGTATGGCACAGACAATTGGAAAATGTAGGCCAAACAAAAAACCTCTAGGCAGGCTTTTCTAGTTTTTTTAAATATATTATATCATTCGTTGCAAGTTTTTACTAAGGTGCCTTCATGAGCAGTTGGCATAGGGTGATGCCAACTGCCTGTTTCCCTTTCCCACACCCTCGTCCACCGCCATTTTGTTCCTAATTGTTTCCCCGTGCGCCGGAAAGTGGCCTTTGTGTCCATCGGTCCTCCTATCTTAGGGGGGAAATGCTAATCCTCGCTCCGTGGGCTCCACAACGCTGCTCCGAACTTGTGAGATAAGGTGCTTGTTTCCGGGAGGGTTATAAGCCCACGGATTATCGCCAAGGACCAAAATGGCTGCTGGTTTGTCGGTGAGTGGTATTACAAAGGTGGCATCACCCTAGCAAAGCGCACATGAAGGCTCCCTCGTTTTTACACCCGCGATGTCTAATAACTTTAATTTGCAGTAGTGGGGAGTAACGTAAATAGGTTTTCATTTGGAAAAGTCGTGAAATTATCAGGGAATATCGTCAAAACGTTGGCCCCCCCTACTGAAAAAAACCATATGAATTTTCCATACGGGTCTTCATATAGCGTTATGGGATACGGGTCATACGGTTGGTACGGGTCATATGGTTGGTACGGGTCATATGGTTCGTATGGGTCATACGGTTGGTACTGGTCATATGGTTCGTACGGGTCATATGGTTCATACGGTTGGTATGGGTCATATGGTTGATACGGGTTGGTACGGTTTGTATGGTCCATATGGTTTGTATGGCCTATGGTTGTTATGGATGATATTGTTCATGCAGTTTAAATCGTTGATATGATCTATAGGCCAACGCACTATTTACCAACAAGCTTTCACAAGGTGTGAACAAATTCAGTTTCTACACGAGGTGCAAGCACTGCGTGTGCACAAGAACGACATTCACGTGACGTAAAGCGTCTGCACATGCGCCCTAACAGTAGCAGCGCCACCGTAGCAACGTGACGTCAGAGCCGCGTATTGGTGTATATCGATCGTATTAACCACATGGTTCACTCATCAGTGAAACATGAAGTTCAGCAGGGAAACACTTTCCTTTTAAAGCCTATGCAAGATAGCAGAAAGTGCATGCACAGAGAAATGCTCGAACTTCGAGAAATTGTGAACATGCATTCCACCCGCAGGCTCGTTTATTTGTCCTCTAGTCTCAGACTTTGAAGTAGCTCGTGCATGCTAATGAGGCAATTCTTTGAGGCGAGCTGCATCTGCTTTCCCAGTTGGTCACAGGCTGACGCACCTCCGACGGGCATCTGAAAGTAATGTAAACAAAACCGACAGTCACATTACATGTTCTCGTAAAATAGTTTGTACAATATCTATCTAGTCAGTAAACCCTTTTCAAAAGTCTATCAAGCAACAATGGCTGTCAGTACTGCTTGCTCACGAAGTGCGTGACTGGATCCGAGTTCTCGCTGAACGCTGACGCAGGGCTCGCTTTCAGTATATGCTCAGAGTATGAGAGCAAGCAATGGCGGACAGGCGTTCGCACTGACGTTGGAAAAGGGTCTATTGACTTAAATTTTATGACTGACCTAATATTTAAAATCATCTACCTTCTGCAACTTTCACATTTTGAAAACAATCACAAACATTTATCAAGGCAATACATCACCGCATGACGGAAAATACATAACATACAACTTTCGTCAACTTACATAGCATACAACTTTCGTCACCACGGGACGTCTCTGCAGTCTCCCGGGACGCAGACCTCCCACGTGGTCACACCCCGGTCCAAGCACCCCTCTCGTCCCGTTTCCCAGAAGAACGCAGGAACAGGCAGCTGTCCCGATCATACGCCGAGACCCAAACGTCTCCACTTGTCTCCATTGTTCGTTAGCACCCGGTCCGAAGGCTGAGGAAGCGGGCCTCTGTTTCTCAGCGGGGTGTCAGGGGGGTCAGCTCCCGCTGTGCCGGGTGGCCCGCTCGGCGTCGCTCGGAAGCTGCACCCCACCCACGCCGCGTCGGTCAGCATGTTCGGCGGCGCCAGAATGCCGAGCCCGAGACTCTGGTCAGTCGATGGGAGGTCGATGGCGCTGCCAGGAAGCCGAACCTGCTCTCTGGGTGGCCGATCATAACAGAATGCATCCACCAGGTGCACATTGAAAGTCGTTTATTTAGCTCTAAAATTAGTTTTCTTGTGCTTTTCTACGGAAGACTGGTGATTTTGAGGTTAGGGTGCAACATGCAACACATTAAAGCTAGGAAATGAGCGCTGAAATTTCGTTTCCCTACACCTTTAATGGAAGTGTAGCCACATAATCTTAGTATAGTATAATTAATAAATTATTCTATGCATGGACAGGAACGTTTAGTTAAGTAAGTCATCCCTGCAGTCCATTAAGCACAAAATTTTAGTTTAGACTAGACAAATGTAAGCCAGAAACACTAAAATCCTGGAATTCATAAGGAAATAACTTTATTTGTGCTTACTGCAGACTTATTTTTCGCGGGCTCCATATTTCGCAATTAAGGTCGAAGCTGAAGTTTTGAAATAATTCGCGGGTTCTAATTTTCGCGATGCAGTGGGATCTCCATATAGATTCCAATGTGTTTACACTTTACCGGAATTGTTTACGGGACCTACTTTTTCAGCAATTGTAGCCGATTCGTAAAAACGATTCGACAGCAATCTCAACCAAGCGATTCGACAGCGACCTCAACCATGGGGTTGCTGTCACGTGCCTTGCTTCGACGCTCTTATTGGGTCGGGAAGGCCGCAGCCTCCACAGCTCGTCAAGTTATCGTGAAACACAGAGTACAGTTGCTGCACTCGGAGTAAGGGTAAAGGATCGCAAACTCAACATGCCCAGCACCTGGAAGAAGGCATAGGACATACACCTCGAGGTTAAAGGGATACTGAACTGAAATTTCGAACTCGCAAAACAAGGCTGGACAGATAGGCGGGACGTTGCAAAACCCAAGAACATCACTCATACAGCGATATCTCTAACGGATCGCCATATTTTTAGAAAAGAAGTGCCCGGCCGAGGAGGCCGACGAGACAAGGCACGTCACGATTCTCATTCCGTCTCCTCCTCGCTACGTCCCGTGTCAAGCTGGTGAACCGAAGCGAGGAGGAGAGAAGCGAGGCCGCTTCCCCTCATTCTCAAATTCTCCCGGAGGACAGTGATGTCAAAAACCTCGCTTGATCGTGCCCTTCTTTTCCAAAAGTGCAGCGATCTGTTTGAGACATCGATGTACGAGTAATGTTTTGGAGTTCGTAGAGTCCTGTTCAACGCCTCTAGAGCCTTATTTCGCGAAATTCAAATTTCGGTTCAGTATCCCTTTAACAAGCCACACGCCAGATAAGGTGCTCCATCTGTGTTTAATGGTTCCAGAAATCTATCGATGCCCTTGCACCAGCGGAGTTGAATCGTTCATTATGAAAAGCAAACCAACAAAACTGCATGATGTTTGGCAAAAATAGGTTACAGCCTGTGCTTTTGATTTGGAACTTCAGAAAGATAAGCTCAGTTCTCTGGAAATTAGAAACTATGTATATTCTGAAAGAATTACTGTTCTGCATATCAAGGTTGTCTCGTTAAAATAAAAAAATAAATACCAGAAAAAAGTACTAACCTGATATGCACCTATGAAGTCTTGTTTTGGCTAGCAGTGACCGGCCCTGGTTAGCAATGACTCCATGTCCCCAGGATTGAAATGATGGTTAAGTAACGTCCACCCCTTATGCACTTTTTGGTACAACTGGAAGAGACAAAGCATCTTGTTAAAAATTACCAATCCTTTTCACGAGCGAATTTTGCAGTTCATGCTTCCTGAAAGTCATTTCCCACAATAGTGTTAAATTAGAACAATGAGAGCAAAGTTGTTTCAGTAAAGGGCCCCTGAAAAGAAAAACAAATGTTTTTTTTAAACAGACTTTTTGGGACACACGTGTCAAATAATTAATTTTACGTGAAAAAAAAATTAATCAGAGCAATATTGACGGCGCGAGACGCAATTTAGTCGGTAGTCACCTCCCTTCCACCTGTTTCCTCTGGGCACTTTGAGCGAGTAGAGGAGAGGGAGATCAGCTTCGCCTTCGTGTTGAGGTGGCGAGAGCGAATGAGCATTCCGGGACGTCATGGACTTTGCGCGCAGAATTTAAAATAAATCTCTTGCCGTCAATATTGCTCTAAAAAATTAATTATTTTCGCATAAAATTTATTTTTTGGCACGAGTGTCCTTATCAGACTGTTCAAAAAACTTTTTTTTTTTTCAGGGGCCCTTTAAGAGGTGTTTGCCTGATATGCATCAGTGGAATCAGGTATTGACTAGCAATGACTTATTGCCCCCGTGACTGAAGTGCTGTTTCAGTAAAGTGCCGTTCACACTCTTGTGACCGAGTAAGACCGAGAGAGACCAGACCGGTTTTTAAGCCTTTTGCGAGTTCTTAGGACGGGATGCGCCAGAACGCAGCTGGTCCTAAGAGATTGCAAGTGGCTTGAAAACCGGTCTCGTCTCTCATGGTCGTACTCGGTTGCAAGAGTGTGAACGGGCCTTAATGCTTCCTGCACAAAAAATTCAAATGTAAGAACACAAGCCCCAAAATGTTTGTGCCATTCTCCTCCCCCAACTTTTCTATGCATTTATTTTTTTTTATCCCTTGGCAAATCCTAAAGAATTCAAAATGCTTATCCTACATCCTTCGGTTAGACTGAGTGGGTAACCCGGAGAATTCATTGTTTGTGAGAACACTTTTCCATTCACCCCATGCTGTTCTTGAAAGCAGAAACTCCTCTCTCTTAACCACAGTCATTAAGCACTTTTCATAGGAACCGTGCGCATCTAATTCAAGCCCCGACCAGGGCGCCCCTAGCGGCAAACGGGTCCATTGCACCGGGGAGCTTCTGCCAGTCGCTGCGTTGGTTGTGCGTTGTAGTGGGTTAGCGCTGTAATTTCCGAGATGGCTATTCCGCACCAAGAAAGCCGCAACAATTGCTGCGTGGTCGGCTGCAACAGTACGTCGAAGATCGCGCACGGCACGTAGTACTACATCGTCCTTTCGAAGCTGTACGAGGCGGAGTACTGCGCGATCTGGGTGCGACTTGTGCGTCCATACAGGTTAGTAGCGTTTCTTACCTTCCAGTTCGCGCTTTGTTTAAGCTGCTGAAGAATAATACAATCAACTTTTTTTCTATTCTAGCGACGATGGAACAGCATCGACACCGACGGCTAACTCTAAAGTATGCTGCAAATACTTCACCGGAATCGAGAAGCGGAATGCGGTCGCCCACCTAAGCCTACCCTTGGATGTTTCCATCAGCCTACAGTGGGAATCGCGGAACGGCGCGAAAAAAATCGCCCAGTTACTGTCAAGCTGATCCAGAAATAAACGTACATAATTACCACAGTCCACTCAACGCCAACTACATTTTTTGGGGGCGCGCTTAATTTTGTTAGCGGAGTACGGCGCTCCGTGACATCCACTTGTCCGTCGAAACGGACCTCCTTCACGTCGTACACGCGGCCAGATTCACGAAGGAGTTTTCCCTTCTTCATATTGGTACCACGGAAGAAGCTTTCTATTTCGTAACCGCCTTAAACCCCGTCGTAATCACCCCGGGAGGGAACACTGTCCGCTGTGCTGCTCATCACCATTGCTTCCCCCCGATGATTCTGCTCCGGCTACCGAAGAAGCTTTCCGGATTCGTAATCGCCCACTGTCCTCTGTGCTGTTGGTTGCTATTACTTCCCGATGATTCTGCGCCGACGGCACTGGCTACCGAAGGAACTTTCCGAATTCGTAACTGCCTTAAATTCCTTCGTAATCACGACGGCGACACTGCCCGCCGTGCTGTTCGTCGCCATTGCTCCCCGATGCTCCTGCGGCGGCTACCGCTAGGTCGCGGCGAACAATAGGCGACCGCCGCGACACGGCCGGCTTGCTCGCTTCCTATAGACCATGCACACAAGGTTGGCAATGCCAGCACAAGCTCATGTCTTCACTTTGAGCATGGATTAAGCATATATAACTAAATCTGAGACACCGGAAGAAGGAAAAAGGAGGACACAAAAAAGAGGACGACACACATAATGTCTCGAACACAGCTGCAGGTTAATTCTAAAACCACACCATTTTATAGGGGTAAACCGCAGTCAATGCCAAGAACCCTCACACTAAGTCACACCCCCAGATTGTCAGCAAGGGGGAAAAAAGAACTGCCCTCAACGTTCCCACACTGGCCAAAGTCAACCCACCGACTAAGAAGTAAAAAAAAAATGCAGCTGTGGTTGAGACGTGTTGTGTTTGATGTTCTCTTTTTCGCGTCCTTCTTCCGGTGTCTCAGGTTTAGTTATGTATGCAATTCACCACCCTTGCCAGTACTTTTACTCTTCTCTCAATTAAGCATACGCCTGCAATTCGTAATATCTGATCTATGGAAAGTCTCTGATCCACCAAGCCTTTTCCATTATGAGCAGGCATTATTTATAAAAACCTCCTTTCATTACATTGTTTCAGAGAACAATTGTTCTTTCTTAATTAGGATCAACTGATCATATTAGGATAATTGCCAAATAATGGCAAATTCACATGATACATCGAATTGCAATTTTCATCCGTGCACCATTTGTCAAGTTACCATCATGTAGGCTATTCCTGAGATTTGTCCCTCGTCCGCGGACACTCATACTGAAAGGGCAGAGTGCCTTCTTAATCGCAGATTTTTGGCAAGTGAGTTACTCGAAAAGCGTTTTTATGGTAGAGTA